TGGAATAGTTCAATTTAATAACCTCATCATTTTCAATATCAGAAGTATCCTCTCCATCAAAATTAAGAACAATGGGTTGTTGGTCAGGATTAGTTCTATGTTGTCGTAAAACTTCTTTTGGGATTTCTTTCGGAACTCCGGAAATACCTGCTTCAGCTTGCCTCTGACTTAAATGGGCAGTTTCAGTGTTTTGACTGGATGGTTTGTCACTGTTGTACTCAGGGCCATCTGAAAAAGGCTCAGCCCCTTGTCTTTCGGACTCTTTCTCATATAGGCCCTCCTTTACCACCTCTTCTTTGCTTTCCTTTCCCAAAGTTGGGATGCATAACGTACTTCTGTGAACATTTGTCTCATCTTCAAGACATGGTGTTTTAACATCTCTACGTGAAATAGAAGTCAAACTAATAAACTCATCACTTTCAGTATCAGAGGTATCCTCTCCATCAAAATCAAGAACAACAGGTTGTTGGTCAGGATTAGTTATATGTTGTCGTAGAACTCCTTTCTGAATTCTTTCTTCATCTTCTCTGTGATTTACTACATGGGTAGTTTCAAACTTTCAATGTTTTCACTGATTGCATTGTCAATGTTGTAGTCAGGGCTGTCTGATAGTTGGGCCCCTTGCTTTTCAGGCCCTCTCTCAGATAGGTTCTCCTTTACTACCTTCTCTTTGCCTTCCTTTCCGATGTTAGCAATGCATACTGTCCCACTGCAAACATTTGACTCGTTTTCCATGCATGGTTTGTTGACATCTATACATGATATGGAAGGCCCTGATTTTTGTTTATCAGCTAGATTTCTTTGAAACTGGCAATCAGAAACTCTATTTTGACTTCTTGTATTTTGTTCTCTCTCTTTCAAATGCCCATTCTCCTGCGTTCTGATGCAGTTTGCCTCATCCTTCATACTTTGAGTACTGATATCTCTACACAATGTAGAGGACTCTAGTTGTTGTTTATCAGCTACACAACTTTGACACTGACGACTTAGATCTTGTCTGTTTTGACTTCTTGTATTTTGTTCTTTTTCCTTCAAATTCCCACTCTCCTGAATTCTGAGTAAATTTGCTTCATCTCCTACACAGTCTGTTAACATCTCTGAATGACATTGGGGGCCCTAATTGTTGTTTATCGACTAGACCTCTTTGAAACTGACAATTAGCATCTATCCATTTCGATTTGTTGGATTTTGCTCTTTCATATGTCCCTCAATATATTTCATTGAACAATGCTCAAATACATGAATAAATGCAGATAGTTTCTTCCTTGCCAAACGGTCTTTCTTCTTAACTTAAAGATACTCTGAAATAGAAAGAGAATACACACAAAAGGGGCAATGGAAGTTTTTGTAATAAAAAGAATTATATCCTGTGCAGGTTGTGTTTTCATCAAAGCTAGCGGAGTTGCAATTGTGCTCGATTGAGCATAACAACATCATATGGCACACTTTGATGATATCTTGTTTTGAGAAACTGAAGAAATTAATTATTCATGACTGTAAAAATCTGGAATACCTACTCTCATCTTCGGTAGCATGGGATTCAGAAGGGATGATCCAACTCCTCCTTCCAAAATTAAAGAGGTTAGAATTGGGAGACTTGCCCCAACTGAAGAGCATCTGTAGCAAAAGGGCAGCAATGGTATATGATTCTCTTGAATGGATTATAATTTGGAATTGCTATAGCCTAAGGAGGTTCCCTCTTTATCTTCTTCTGCTTGAAAATGGACAACCATCTCCTCCTCCTTCCCTCAAACAAATGGTAGTATGGCCACATGAATGGTCGAAATAGTTAACAGTGGGACCATCCTAATGCAGAGGGTTTACTTCTACCCTTCTATAAAAGTTATCATTTATTTCCTGTTGAATTAGTAGGAGGACGAATTAAAAGGTTGGAGTTCACCGATATTGATGGAGAGAATACTTGGCTGCTGCTACCATCCGTACAAGAATTATCTATTAGTGGATGCAACAACTTAAGAACCATAGACGATACCTCTGCCATTAAAGATGCAATAGAATTGAAGCGCTGTCGTATTAACGCTTGCGAAGGCCTGGAGTGTGTTCTTTCCTCATCCATAAATCCAATGGTCCAAAAGCTTGAGGTTCTGGATCTTTATAGGTTGGAAACGTTGGCTGCGCTGTTTGAAGCAGAAGACATTACCAAAGTCCCCACTGCTACTTTTTCATCTCTTAAAACATTAAAGTGTGTGTTCGGCAGTGTGATAAAATAAAAGTTGTTCCCCCTTTCGGATGTATCTCCAAAGTCTAGAAGAAATTAGCATTGCTTATTGCCATCAGATGGAAGAAATAATAGCATGGAATGCAGAAGAAGCAGGAGGAGAAAAAGAAGGGGTCACCCAACTCATTCTTCCAAAATTAAAAAGTTTGACATTGATGTGGACGGCGAAAATGGTGTGTGATTCTCTTGAAGTGATTTGGATCAAGAATTGCAAGGGCATAAGGAGGATTCGTCTTTATCTTCCCCTACTCGATAACGGACAACCATCTCCTCCTCGTTCCCTCAAACAAATCGTAGTATGGCCACAAGAATTGTGGGAATCGTTAAGAGTGGGACCATCGCAATGCAAAGGATGTCCTTCTATACTTCGGTGAATTCACACCTTAGTGGCACTGATTTTCTTTAATCGATGAAGAAGATGAAGAAGAAATCACCTATTGTCACTCTGAAACAGTTCATCTTCACCGTGGCTCCTCTAATCGATGTGGAAAAGGTTCATCTTCGCTTTGGTCTATTTTTATTTCTAGAAATTGTTAATTCATGAACTGCAAAATGAGATAAAAAGGAACATGGACGAAATATGGATTAATTAACTGACTTCTTTTTGTTGAATCAGGAAACTGAGATATCCGCCTCTATCTCTTCATGGGCATCAAGGAATTTGGATGGTTCTCAAAGAGGGGTTCCACAATTCTCAGTTTGTAGTGAGTTGTGTGTTGTATCATTTTCTGTAACTGGTAAGAGTGCCTGCTGCCAATCTTTTGTTTTGGGTTTTCAATCATTAATGTTTTGAATCAGTTGAATTGATAATTGCACAACTTCCTCAAGGTTTTGCTATTAAAAATGCCATGGTTTTGAATTGCCCAATTATCAACATGATTTATCTTTTAGCTGAATCGTGGAGTTCCAGTTGCTGTTACAATTACAATGGTCTATTTAGTTAGGTCCTCTGGGGTCCTGGGATTTTTTTGAACTCAATTGTGTTGACAATGTGTGTGTTGTTTTTGGGTCATACTCATGCAACCAATGGAAGTTTGTGTTTCTTGTAGATTTCAGATTAGTCATTCTATTTATAGGAATTTTGGGGTGAAATGCAGTTGCTTAATCAAATAACTTGTATCATTATTAGTGAAATTAAAAAGGAAAAAAGGAGGAAAAACCAAAAACACAATATCAGATATGGCCCTAAAAGTGAATTAGTAATGCTTGAGCTGGATGGTGTTTTGTCTGCCTGATCATGACAATCTGGTATAAGTTCTGGTAAAGTGGAGATTGGAGATGATGAATTTCCCCTTTTTTTGGCAATGCAGTTTGGCACCCATGATGTAGCTGTACTAAAACTGAACATGGCTGATTCAGGAGCTCTTGGACAAGGTGTAGTTTACTGGCTAAAGGTAATTGTGGCTTTTCAAAGACATTTGGATTATTACTAAGTTGATTTTGTTGTTCCTAGTTATGTGTGATTCCCCTGAACTCTTGTGCTCCTGATTTTATTTGCATGTTGAACAGGATTCTTTAATCACTGTTGCTTTTGATAATATCCAAGAAGAAGATTTAAACAGTCCGTTACATCTAGAAAAAGAGTCAAATGGGGGGTATGCTGTTAAAATTCTTCAATAGCTTCTCTGCTTTTCATATTATCTGAATGTCAAACGGGGGGTATGCTGTTAAAATTCTCTGCTTTTCATAGAAAAAGAGTCAAATGGGGGGTCCCATAGTTCTGGTTTACAGACAACCTGAATGCTCAAGGAAAATGTACTTTGACCATATATATATATAAGAACCACCAAAAATTGAACCATATATTATCTGGTTCTGTTCAAGCTAATAGGTTTCAGCAGCTTTCTTTTTTTCAAAACTTGAGCTAACAGTGTTTGTTTGGTTGAGTTTTATTAGTAAGTTCTTTTTTTCTCAGTCCACAAAAGCCAGAGTGAATTTTCATCAAATACTGGCCTGGGTAGTGCAATAGTAATAGGAATTAAAACCATGTGGCTCAATCCATCTTTTGCTGGAATGTGAAATTTGTTTACTTATCTTTCAACTGGGGAAGAATTGTTTGGCATTTTGACTACGGATGACTTTGTTTTTCTTTCCTTTTTCATGGAACTGTATATATTCAGATGAATGGTATTAGAAAGACATTTATGAGCTAAACTGTCATTTCATGCACTAGTTTTTTTCTTCTTGACTTCCTAGTTTGGTTTCCTCTTGTGCGTAAGAGTACATTATAATTATTATTTTTTTTAAAAAAAATTTATCATTAGAGGGAAGGAGGTGAGGTCAGAGTATCCTGCTCGTTTACTATCCTAAAGTTTTGGTCAGTGCACTTTATGCACAGGTAAACTGTATTATTTGGAAGGAGAAAATTTGAACAATGGGATTTTTATCTTAATGATGGTTGTTCATCCCCATAATGTGAGCTTCAATTTCTCATCAAATTTGTCCTTCTTAAAGGTCTCTCATAGTCCTATACAACATAGTAACATCTTGGTCTATTTATTTCCAGCTACAAATTGTTCTATTTAGAATTCCATTTTTTTGGGTAAAGCACCACACTTAAATTCATTTAGGGAATCTTGAAGAAGCTTTCAAGTCATTAAATCACCACCTTTTAACTTCCATCTGCAGTATCACCAATGCAGAAATCCTTGGAAATTGAACACTGTTCTGTACTTAATTCATTTTTTCAGCACTGGAACTGCAAATCATATAACCTCATTTTCTATGTATTTAACGATGCAGCTGGTGTGTCAACAACTTTGGTGCATCTTCTTGCAAACTGGAGAATACTTCATTTGAGTTGGTTATTACTTATGAAGCTGCTCTGTCACTTCAAATAGCATCCTGGATGGCTCTACTAAAGGTAACAGTGCACTCAAAATACATATAAAGCACTTTCTTAAGCAAAATCATAGAGGAACACAGTCACAAAATTAAGTTCAAGATCTGGTTGTAATATATTTCACGGAGCACTTTCTCTTGCATGATTTGGATCCTTAAATTCAGTTTTGAGATGTATCCTTGCAGGAGACCATCTTTAACTTCCTCCAATTATCCACAGAGTGTTGAAGCTGAGAGGAAAGAGTTAGGAAGAACCTTCTCTGAATGCTAGGCAGAACTTCTATGGAGATGTCATCATGCCCATGCTCCTTGTCAGGGACAGCATGCATGAGCTTATATTGAATTGGTCATCCAAAAAAATTTACAAGGGTAAGGTGCTGGAATATTTCAGTATGATGAATTGTAGTGTAAGATTTATTGTTAAATAAACAACAGTAATTTTTCTTGATTATCACAGGTCAAAAGCCACGCAAGTGTTGCTGCACACATACTTTCTTCTCTTGAGAATATGAAAGACAATGACACAATGTCTTCTACAGAGCCAATCCTTCTTCTTTGATTCATATAGGTATGTAGCTAGTTTCTGAAAATTTCTGAATATTATGTGTTGCCTTTTTCATGACTAAATAAAAATAAAACAGAATCCCACCATTTTACTTGTATCATCCTTTGGAGGCTACTTTTTGTATAAGAGAGTGAACTGTGTAAACAATTTTTGTTTTATAAAATGAAAGTGAAATTGTTTTATTTAAATATATGTAAGAATTTTTGGTTTGTAAATGTAATGCCCAATTGACATTCTACTTCACAGGAAACATGTCTCAAATGTCAAAAGGGATACAAAAAATGCTATAGTTGCAATGCCACGTGGCACTGTAACTATATAACATGATGTGTCGTTTTATAATTAACTCTTTTCATTCAAAGGTCTACCATAATATTGTATGCATCTACTCATTTGATACTACATTATATTTCATTTAATACCTCATGGGATTGTAAGCTAATTTGTAATGAAAGCAAATTTCCTGGAACATAGTGTCCTATGTGGCATTGTAACTATAGTATTACCAAAAGGGATAATATTTTAAGTTGATTGGCTTACTTATGGTTTGGAGAGGCTGGCCACTAAGTTCTAAGAAATTTTGCTTTCATTGTAAATTTGTAAAAGTTGATGTTTGTTTGCTTTAGATTAGATGTATCATGGAAGAAAAGAAGGATGAAAAAGATAGGACACTGAACGAAGGCGAAGCAGAGATTGCTATTTCACATGCAAAGAGACTTGCTTACTCAAGGCGGAGTCCAAGCTTCCAATATTGGAATTATTCACAGTATGTTATGCAGGTACCATGGAGTATACCTGGTTAATAGAGTGAGACAGGAATACTAACTAGATAATTAGATATCCTCCCTCTTCATCCATTCATTTCCTGAAATGATCAATACATTGATGTTTGTTCTTTTAAATTGCAATTGTGTTTCAGGTTCTATTACAAAAGATGTTGAGAAGCAAGAAGGACTGGCTAAAGGATACAGCAACTGTGAATGTAGCATCTTCTTGGTCCACGACCCACTTCATGCAACTAAATGCAAGACAGATGCTTCTTGTTGTTCTAGAAGTGGCAGATTGGTCTACCAGTGGTTATGAGGAATGCTGGAGGACAGGCTATAGATTGGCATAGCTATTCAACAGTACACCTTATCTGCCCTCGCAGAAGAGGCATAAGCTCTTCGTCTTGCAGTGGGAAGGGCAACGGCAAATGGTTTTCAAGAGTCATTTTTGAAGCAGGAAAAATTTAGCTCGGCAAATTGCTTGCATTGTGGAACCCATATGGAGTACTGTGCTACCACCTTTTGAATGGTTTGATTTTGTGTTTGTCCCTGGAATAAGCTGACAAAGCTACTTACGGTAGTCATTTTTGAAGCAGGAAAAATTTAGCTTGGCAAATTGCTTGCATTGTGGAACCCATATGGAGTACTGTGCTACCAGCTTTTGAATAGTTTGATTTTGTTTGTCCCTGGAATAAGCTGACAAAGCTACTTACGGTCCGTTTGGTTCAGTTTTTCTTGAAACTTCAGCTTTTTTACATTATTTATGTTTCATAAGTTTAAATTTTCTTTTTAAAAATTTACATTTTAAAATTTTTTTTAACTTTAAAAGGACCTCAAACAATAAAAATTTAAAAACTTCAAACTTACTTTTTATAAATTTTCTTTTTACTTATTTTTTATTTACTTTTTCTTATTTTTAAAAGTAATTTTTTAATTTTTTCTTTAATAAAAATTTAAACTTATCAAAACAGTAAAAAAAAAATGTCAAAGCTCTAAAAAACTTCACTAAACAGGCCCATTGGGTTGCTATTGGGCGCACTGTCTGCCCGTGGAATTGTGTTATCGTTTGTAGAAGTTGCTCAGAGCTAATGAAAATAAGGCCTTTTGAAGTGGTCCAATTCACCATTGGGCTTGGACTGGAAAGTTGGAAAAGTCTGTACGCTTGTTGTCTAATTTTGGAGGTCACTCGGGTGAGTAGGGATGAGTACTTTCGGGTACTTACCCAAACACTCAAAAATATATAATTGATAGCTAATTTAACAGGGTAACTTTGTAGGTATATATTTGCATATTTGACTTAGAGAAAGAAGTCTTCCATGAGTTGCAATTGTTACGTATGTATTGTATTTGGTTTAAAATTTATTATTTATATAAATTGTTAATACTGCATCTGTTATTTGTTTAGCATACAAATTTTATTTTTATTTTTATTTTATTTTTGTATTTTTTTAAATCATTGTTATTAATTTATTATATAGATATTAAGTAAAATAAATATATATAAAATTTTAATTATATAAATACATGTAATAGATCAATTAAATAAGTTGATTAAACAAAATAAATAAATAAATATAAATTTTTATATTTGTTATTTAAGTTAATATTTATAGATATATTCATATATATTATTTACTTAATATTTTTACAATTTAAATATAATACTTACCCAAATAAGAATATACTTATAAACAAACAATTGTATTCATACTTAATGCCCACCCCTCCAGGTCAGTCGTGATTCATGAACAGACCAGATCAGTCGTAAAATAACGTCAATAGAAAACATAGCGAAAGAGATCCTTAATGCAGTTTGACCGACCAGGCGACCACGGCTGAGTTTGGTCGTTGGCATGTTGCTTCAATTTGTTCCCAATCCCATCATAGCTGGTATTATTTTTAGACAAAGGCTTTGACTGGGCTGTGTGAGGGTTTTTTTTTTTTTTTTTTTCTTTTTTTGTGTGTTTTGATTTTTTTTTTATTTT